TTTAGCTTAAATATCCGTTTCTAACTTATATGCGTAAATCGTAATCCTGAAACTCATTCTGGCAGTGAAATGTAGGTCAGAAACTAGAAGGTAAAGGAAAGGCTTGTTCCAAACTAAAAATAGCTATTAACAAAATAAAGAAAGTAAAACTCTACAAGACCCATCTCTTACAAACTCTTAATCCTCAAAAACACGTCATTTTAATTTTGTTTCTCATTATCACTAAGTTATTGACTATTTAGTATGAAATAGGTTTCAACTATCGGACACATAAATTATTATTTAGTTTAATCTCTGTTAGTGGGAAATCAATAAATAGCTTCGTACCACAGCTGACACCCAAAAGTAGTAGATTTGTAGGCAGCTGAGCAGGAACAGTTTAATTGAAAATTTATAAAGCAACCTTACTCAAATACTTTCAATTATTTGTGAAGTCGTGGTTTGGGTCTTCGAAGCATTCTCATTTGCTAATGGAAATAACACTACCATAAAAAAGTCCGATCCATACAAAACGGCCGAGAATTGTATACCATACTAGCTGTACCCGCCCGGCGTTGCCCGTGCATTTAAAAATTGCAGATAAGTGAATAGCGCAGGAATAGTAGTGTAGGACATGTAGACTGTCTCTCTCTCTTCCCCCCCCACAAGCTACAAAAAAAGAAATGAATTGTAATTAATCGATTTAATGTATCGTCAAAACAGCAAACTAACGCTAGAATAAAGAAATCAATTGTTACAATCGAACGTTATTTGAAAACAAATAATAATATCAGTGAGTCAAAAAAACCGTGATTAATTAATTATAAATAATTTTTTTTAAAATTTTTCTAATCAAAAATCGAAAATCGGGCTTCGAGGTCTGGTGGCCAGCCCCTTTGTGCTTCCGTATAAAAAATTCCAGGTCCCTGCGTGCGATAGATTTGGCTGGAGAGCTCGGTCAGACAGACAGACAGACAGATAATTAATTATAAATAATTTTTAAAAATTTTTCTAATTCAAAATCGAAAATCGGGGCTTCGAGGTCTGGTGGCCAGCCCCTTTGTGCTTCCGTATAAAAAATTCCAGGTCCCTGCGTGCGATAGATTTGGCTGGAGAGCTCGGTCAGACAGACAGACAGACAGATAATTAATTATAAATAATTTTTTTAAAATTTTTTCTAATTCAAAAATCGAAAATCGGGCTTCGAGGTCTGGTGGCCAGCCCCTTTGTGCTTCCGTATAAAAAATTCCAGGTCCCTGCGTGCGATAGATTTGGCTGGAGAGCTCGGTCAGACAGACAGACAGACAGACACATTCCACTTGCTTTTATTATTATAGATGTATGCTTGGGTTCATTTTTCCCGCCTCTTTGGACATGCTTGGATATTTCATTGATTATGTGTGCTTTACCTATATTACTTGCATATATAGCTAAGATTTACAATCAAATTCTGATTTATTAGAGGCGGATTAACCGGATTGTAGGCCATTCCGGTTCTATCTTAAAAATGGTTAATTTGTTCCTTGAGAAACAATGAAGATAATTACTATCACATACCATCAACGTAAAAAAGAAAAAAAGCCTGTCTACGAAAAACACAAAAAGGGAAAGTAGATACGTGGGAGTAGCATTAGTGATAGTTATTATGTTCATTCTTTCTTTATTCAAAGGATGTTCATTTTTGTTTTGAACACTTCATTTTGTTCTGAACATAATTTAAATTACCAAATTAACTTATTCATTCAGATTAAACTGCTTGAAAATCAAAGCAAATTTAACCGTAATTTTCTTGTGTTTTATAATGTACAATAGTTTATTCCTCTTTTCCTGTATCTTTTAACAATCCTCGGATTAATAGTGATTTTGAGTTAGCCGTGAACGTCGTTCCCTGTGTTACCCCACTAGATCAGGAATTAACTCTATTAAGATGTGAAAATTCACGATAGTGAAGGAATGATTTTTCTTGACAAGCGAAATTGTTTTTCTTTCATCCGAAGTTAACTGTACTTTATAAAGCTATTAAATTAATTTGAATTAATGTGTGTTGCATATTTATTCATTCACATTAAAGGTAATTTATAGTAAGGTGGTCAATATATCAAACATCTTAATTTAATAACATCTCATAATATTAATATGTTAATATATACGATTCAACTTGTAAATATTAACATAAAACCAGTGACGTATTGGATATAGGACTGTTATTTGCACACTAGGCTGTAAGGATTATGTTAATTTTATTAACAGTTAAATTTTGAATTAAACTTCTTTCCTGTCAAATTCTTAACTTCAACTTACTACTTCCGGCCAGAAAGTAGTTTTAGAATCACGTCTGAATACATAATGAGGAGGAGCGGTATTTAAACCGCGAAGTTCTTCGGTCCTAGAGAGAGAGTTACCTAGGATATTCTGGTCTGCACGCGTCCGCCTTTTTTAAGGCTACTCTCTCGTAAGCTATTATTACGCTCACGCTCGGCTGTACTTTAGGCCCTTGATAGCTTCGCAGTCAATTAAGCGTTAAGGGACCAACTCAGTTAGAATCTTGATAGTTTCGGCTATATCTCTTTAGTTTATATTAGTTTTAGTTTACTTCTTAGCCTCTTAAGTTCAAATCCAAGTGTCGGCTTTTAATGTACACTCCAAGACGGAGTTCTGTTAAATCGTATTTGACTAATAAAGGTTTCATTTTGTTGTTTCTTGTCATACGAAATCAAGCGATTATTCGCTTATCAGTTCTTAAGGTTCTTCACGTTCAGCTGTAACGTAGGATTACAAGTGGAGAACTCTAGAAGGTGGAGCACTGATTAGCCAAAAAAACTACTTATTTTCTAAAAGCATGCTTATCAGTGTAAAGTTCTTTCTCCACACGAATAAAATGTGATTAATATCATTACGCATCAGCTTTAGCGCTTTGCATATTAGAAGTGTTTTTTGAAAGTGTGCTTTGCAAGTGTGTTTTGAAAGTGTGTTAGTTGCAAGTGTGTTTTGTGTATTGTTTCAAGAAATTAGCTAGACTATTTCTAATATTTACCATGGAATTTCTTCCGTAATCATTATGTTTAGTTTATATAGCCTATCCTGGCAAGCAGGTCTAACGATACTATCGTTTAACTTCTTTTTTAATGACCTTTAAGAAAGATTTGCCAGGTTTTGTTGCATACAGCGAAAAGAGAAATTTTAGAACAAAAATAATATACATAATAACTACTATAGAACGCCTATTCTATCCTCTAGCATAGAGTTCTTCACGTAAAAAAGCAACAATCAATATATACTGAAAGACAGAAGAAGTATAAAGGATCCCAAAATACTGTTAACGCTCACTGGGAATTAATAACCTACTTAAGTAAAGGGACTACTTTTCTTTTGGGAACTTTGTGCGGTTTCATCCAATGCGTGCAGTTCCCCATAGAAAAGGATTGCAACTGCGAGCATCAATAGTTAAACGCTGAAGCTAAACAAAGGAGAGGGAAGGTGTATTCACGAGAGCTACTTTTAGTCCCTTCAAAAAAATGATTTGCATGTCATTCAAAACCCCCCAAAATTAATGAGCCATGCACTAGCATGATAGGGGAAAGCATCAGGTAGAAAAGGGACGTAGGCGTTTAGTTGACCTCCCGATGCACAGGCGTTTTGGCAAACGTCGCTGTTAAAGATTTAAAGTTATAAATATCCTCACAGTTTTATTTTAGTAGTCTATTTATCGCGTATGAATTTTAATAATATTGAATTAAAAATGTGTTCGAGTGGTAATTCATCTAAACGTGTACAGTATTATTCTAATTAATAAATGAACAGAATCTGTTGATTTTTTTCCCTACTTAATGCTGCCGTTTTCTGTTCAAAATTGTTCTCGATTTCGTAAGGCTGAAAATATTTTTTCAGATCAGAAATTCGTTCTCGAAGTTTGAAGAAATGGTATATCCCAGAACCTGTTACATTTCAAGAGTAACTCTTTAACTTCTAAATTTCTGCAGCTTTATTTGCATCAAATTTTTCGTAGCATTCTTTTAATATCCGAAATAGGAAGTTATGTCAAGCTGGTATTAAATTAGAGGATTCACTTAGAGCTTTGCGTACTTTTTATTATCATAATACTGTAGAAATACTAAGAGGTCATTAAAATCAAAACAGATAAATTCTGATTACTACATGTCATATACAAGATTACATCGTTATCCTCTAAATTTAAATGATATCCAAAAAAAAGAAAATCGGTTTTTTATCTTACATTTTTTTTTCTCATTGAAATATAATCTAGAATCAGAACAATGAATCCCAAAAGATGGAAGTAGCCTGAAAAATATCTTTCAACACACTGCCATCACTACACTTGAAAAAGTTAAGTTTTTTAAAAGAGAAACCATTATATTGATATATCAATTCTAACTCCTTATCTACTGATTTGAAGATAACGCGCGCACCTGTCCTTATTTCGCAATTCATTTTATTGTTGTTTTTGTTTTTCATGAAAATTCATTTCCTATCTTCCATGGAAGGCTGATACAGAAATGAATTTTATTTCCTCTCTGCGCAACATAGTTGAGGTCGTTTGCGAGTTGACGATTGGTGATTTCGTTTCGATTATCCCGACAAAAGAAGCAACTGGGATGCAATTGTAAAATGCCTTTTATTTTTCATTCTTTGTGAGATATTGTTATGGATGATAGAAAAAAGAATTTAAAGAAGAATGGAAAAAATAAAGATCTTTTTAGTACTTCTTTTGTGTTCCTTATGTCATTTTCTTTGAAGTATGAACAAATACGCAACAAGAAGAAATTCTCGATTTGTCGTACTTTTGTCATCTGTCGTCACTCAATAACGTAAAAAAATTATTTTTTCTTGCCCCTTTTTTTCCTATGTCTTATTATCTATGGTAGATAAAAGTATTCCAATACAAGGAAAACTGCAAATGGACTACGTACGTTTGAATTTATTATCGGATTATTGCTTGTAAAAACGTTCTTAACGTTCTTTTTTATCCAATACTTCTGTTTATGTTTCGTAGGTTACTTTACGTTGCGTTAAGTTATATGCTACCAGGCATGCATAATCATTTGTCCTTGCAAATGTTGCCACTGCGCCAAACATAAGGTCTCTAACTTCTCGCAAAGCCTGTTTCTACAGTGTTACCATTTGGGAAAAAGTAAGACTTTTCATTTATTTTCAGATTTATTCGGCTTCAAACTGCTTGATAAACTATGCTATTTAAAAGCAAAAAACACACTTTTAAATAATTTAAAATCTTATTTAATTTTTAAGATCTCACTAATTGATACAAGTTTAAGCAAATTTGAGATACAAAATATCCAACTGCTAATTCTTAATGACTATTTCCAATTTATCTTGTATTGGAAATAGTCATTAACAATTCAGATATTTTTTTATTATTCAGAAACTGCTTGACATCATAGTTTATCAAGCAGTTTCTTAATAATAAAAAAAATATTTCCAGTGCTATTTATCACGTAAAAAATCCTTTATAAATCAGGGAATTTATAAACAATATTATAATTTTCTGAAAAGTTCCCCAATTTTAATTTACGAACGAAGAAAAGAAAGAAACATTAATAATAATGACCATTTACATATCGTGTTGTAATAATAAGTAATTTGAGTCGTATCTCACTTTGTTTTGTGTGTTCTTATTTCAGACTGCAAAAGTGCTAACTTCAGAGGAAGTGCGAAATAACTTAACTTTTAAAACAGGCTTTGATAGAAGAGGTTTAATTGATATACGATTCTGCTGAGGAGCTCTCGCAGTAGAGATGTCCCCAAAATATTTGCTTCAGAGAAAACTGTTTTTTTACGTGATCGTTTTTTTTAGCGCTAATAGTAATGCTTGCATCTCAGTTTTGCTGCAATAATCATTTTCTTGTAGAACACCTTTTCTTTGTTTATTTTTTTAGATTATTTTTTACTCTCAGTTCCTTAGTCTATCAATTAATTATTATCCGAGATATATTTGTTTCCAGTCTTAAATTTGCTTAGCATGCGGATTGAATTTTAAAAGTCAGAGCCTCTACTGCTTTGTCTGTGTCTTCCTTATTACTGAGGGAATGAATGATGTCGAGGATATTTTTAGTTTCGGCTTTCATGACAGCAATAAACTCCTCTTCTTTGTTCTTTGCGATTTTAAAACGTTTTAGAACATTTACGGAGGTCGGATTTGAAAAGTTAAATGTCGGACTAAGAGATGTTATCCAGGATTCTTCTGTTGTCGAGCTTATTTGCTAGGTGACAAGAAGCAAGTGTCAAATCGGTCAAACCACGTCCTTCACTTGTTTTAAAAGAAGGTACATTTACAGGATTACAGTGAATAATTGGGTTATATTTATTAATAAAGTGTTTAAGTTGTCGGCCTCTTTGGGAGGTAAATTAGGAGCCCCATAACTGAATTTGAGAGTTAAAGGTTTCTACAGATGACATGTGGGGGTGGAGAATTAAATCATTATTTAATCGTTAATTGATGAAGTTCGTCTAAGGTTGAGGAGATTTCTTCGACTGGAGGGATGTAGAAACTTTGATTAACAGTTGAAAATCCCTGTAATTCAATGAGAAAGTTACTATACCTCTGCTGGATTTTATTAGAATAGGATTAAATGGAAAATGTTCTATGAGAGAGACAATCTCTCTACTTTGCTCTCAGCGCAATGACCTCTTTTAGGATAGTGATATTTTTGTAATTTAATTTAAAAAGAACTGCCAGATGCTGTTTTCGATTTTGCATGTTAATTTGAAGAAACTAAAAGTTGCTTTTGCCTGGAATTTACTTGAAGAAAACGGCACTGGGAAGACGATGACGCGTAGAAAATGTTGCTTGAGAAGGCTGCGTATCTGAATTAAAATCCATTATACGTTTGAGCTTTTATTTTCCAAACTTGTTTCTGGTATATCTGACAAATCGGGGCTGTGGCTGAATAATTGATATAAAAATAGCGTGGTTTACATAGCCGTTTAACTTTCAAATGATGCATTTAATACTAGTCGCAATGCATTTTCTCGAGTCAAGGCTTCCTGCGCAGTATCTTTTATAGAATAGTACTCGAATCTACACTGTCTAAGAAAGTGTTCGTAGTCTTGATAATTGTTGCATCGCTTCATGCCGTTACATTCAGCCTTTCTGAATGTTTGCCATACATAGATTGTTGTTTTAATATCAATGAGAGGCGAAGAACTGCAGATTAATTACTGATACGAATGATATAATAAGAATTTCGAAGGCGAATACAGCATTTGATGGTTCTTATACGAAAGCTACTGTAGTTTCCAGTAGTTTACGTCGGTGGTAATTTGATCTTGATTTCACACAAAATTGATGACTGCTTTTCGTTTATATTTTAATGAAAACACCAGAAAGATATATTACAGTAATACCGCATCATCGCAACGCCGAACCGAATGTTACATAATATAAACACAGAATATTTTCTTTTGGCGCAACAGCGCCCCTTGTCATGAAAGGTTGCAACAGTTACTTAATGAGTTGGCTGATGTTTTAGATTTGGATATTGGCTCTATTTGAAATATAGGAAGATTGTTTTTTTTTTTTTTTTTTTTTGAGAATTAGTTTAGCTGTTTCTTTGAAAACTTTGGATTGGCTCTAATGAGTTGACAGAGGATTTTCTTAATGATATTTTTATTTAGGCATTTGTATTATATATGGTATAGTTATTTAATTATAACTTATAGTTATTTAGTAATATTTTTCTTACATGAGTTACAAATGCCAATCTCAGAGCTCCAAAAAGGGAATGCATCATTAGCAGTTGAAAAGAAATGTGTTTAGCCGCCGGACAGAAAGATTTGATACTATGGTACACCAACCTATTTTGGCTGAATTTGTTTTCGATTCGCTGCAAAACTCTGTAGCTCTTGTTAGGCTTGACACACATATACTTTTAAAATGTTCATAATACAGTCATTTACAAATTGAAAAAAACTATATTAAAAGATACGAAAACGCTTAAAATCCACGACGCGAATAGAAACACATTATTATGCAAACACTTAATATAAGTCTAAAAAACGACAGCTCACAAACTGTGCAGCTACATCGGCTGGTATTCGCAGAACATTAGTGCATATGTATAGTAATAGCAAGAGGGAGGATGCATGATCTTGCGGTTGTTTCTTCAAAATAACGCTGACATAACACTATGTTCCAACGTACAAAATCCATAAATCGGCCGACTTGTTGGAAAGACTTCTGAGGTGGCCGCAGGTCATGAAACACTGGTTCCTGTGCCGGAGCCCTATTCCAGTCTAACAAGATATGTGATAAACGTATCATGAAAACATAACTTATAAATAATATAATAATGTATAATAAGCAGCATAGTCCTTGTAGCAAGTTCTTGTAGGGTGAAAAAACGATGGGAAAATGTTCGTAAAATGGCTATACGAAATGAAGCATATCCGTCGATATCAAAGCTTGTATAAAAAGCACTGGTGGAGGAGTGGGAGCGATGAGATGGGTCAAATGGTATACGTCCTTTGAAGATTTAATGATAGGCAGGCGGAAGCTTAGCTGTTGCCTGAAAGTAAGGAAAGCACCAGAGCACAGAAAATTACAGGCTTGTTCCAAATAGTAACACAAACAGGAATAACACGTGTTATAACAGTATACAAGTAAAATGAATAAAAGCACAACAAATGAATATAATAATCAGTCTAAATGTCTAAGAATGGCTCCAGGCCATCTTGTGAAAACTGCATGATAAGGATCATAATTTAGCATTGGAATTAAGGGGTTATTAACCCTGGAAATTCTGTTAATTTTTTTTTTTTTTTTTTTTTTTTTTTTTTTTTTTTTTTACTGTTAGAAAGACTCCAGCAAGAGATGCACCCAAAAGTAGGCGGAGCTTCTTTTAACAAAGGGCTCTAAAACTAGAAATCGCGGTGCACTAAAATCCTTCAAACAAAAAGTTCGGATTTGATGCAAAACACACACTTAACCTAATTAAGCTTAGCTACATGAAAGGCAAAAGCGTTAATTATAAAAAAAAAAAAAAAAAATTAAAAAAAAAAAAAAAAAAAAAAAAAAAAAAAAAAAAAAAAACAAAAAAAAAAAAAAAAATTAATTCCACTCAAAATAAAAAAAAATATTAAGCGACACTAGACTGAATATCACTTAAATTACTTTTAACACACAAAATTACAATTTAAATAATCTTATAATCATAAAATAAAAGCATAATTTGATGAGCTCACCAACTTCCACGTAAGACCCACCGCGTCTTACAGTTTTCTAATTTAAAGTAAAGCTTATGGTGGAGGTGAAAAAAAGCACAGTTTTCTAGAGTCAGGTGTACTTTTTCGGCACAAAAGCTTTATTTTAGATTAAAAAATTACGGTTGAAACATTATCAAATAAAAGGGGTATTTTTCATTAACGAACGAAGCAAGAAGCAAAATTGAGTAACCAAATTATATAATTCTGTTTATCTTCTTACGTCTATTTTAGTTAATTTTTAAAATAGCATTAAAAGTCTAAGCTTTAATTTTATTTAAGCTTTAATAAGCTAAGCACTTGAGCTAACAAATTTCTTTCATTCTTGGCAAATTGTTTAGTGTAATTCTACTCTCAGATTGAATCTATTTGTTCAATATGATTTCTACTTTCACATCTGAACTGAAAGTTTGCGAAATTTTTATTATAATATTGCTTTTAAATTAATCTGATTTTTATTATTTTTCAACTGTCACCTTTAGATTTTCAAATTCGTAAGATATTTGTTTCGGAAATAGGAGGAAGAATTGCATCAGGTGCGTAAGTAGAGAGTCTCTAAAATTACCAGCAGATCTACTTAGAAGGCGATATCATGACTTTTCGAAGTTAATTCAGGAAATTAATGGGAACTTCTGAGGATGCGGGCTATGTCAAATTGAAATATCTTGAAAATATTCTTGTGCTATGTGGGTTCATTTATTATAGCTCCTTAACTTCCGCTGAACATCTAATCCAAAGCTTTGCAACCTTTTTGAAACAGGTATCATACAACCAGCTGCAAAATTGTCGTCCCAATTTTAGAATAAAATAAACAAACTATTTAAAAAGAATTATTGAATATGGGACACGTAAACATGACTTAGATTGTAAGGACCTTAAGTTTTACTAACATTTATTTTATTTTAAATCTTTACT